TTATGTATGTTGTAATTTCTCTACAACTAGTAGATCTTTTTTTCTCATCCGTGGATGTAGGTCAGTTGGATCGAACCACGTTAAATTGTTGTCTTTTGTGTGTTTGATTTATTATTTGATTTCGCTTCCGCTGGTGTGATTGGATTGGAGGCTTTAGCCCAACAGCTTCCATGGCTAATTGTCTCAAGTTTGATGTTCATGATTTGGGTTTAGAGGAGGTTCAGTGCAATTCGGATTTGAGGAGATTATTGATAGATAAAGGTAATTAAATAAAATTACATCATTTTCATAATTGTAAAAAATTTATTATGTAGTTTGCCTAATCATATAATTTAATTTCAATTTTTTTATTTTCTGCTATTATATATCATCTTGTTACGACTTTAGTTAACTTTTTATCTATAGTAATTTTTTTAGAATTTAGGCCTAATTTAACATTACTATTGAAAATGTTTTTGACTTTAAAAGCAGCTTTTGATTCAACCTTAATATTAAACAATAAAAAAAAAATATAGCTTTTCAAGTTAAAGTTTGATTTTGCAATCTAAACAAAAATGCTTCTTAAGAGATGTTTTAAGGTGGAAAAGTATTTTTGGGATAAAAAATCACTATATTATCCTATATTTTATTATTTTTATTTTATTTATATTTTTTTTTTTTTATTTACATATTACAAATACAAAATTAAAATTTTAACACTCATAACATTTTTTTTGTATTTTTAATAGTACATATTACAAAATAAAAATTACACACATCAAATAACACTCAATGTATTTCAAATAGTACATAGAAAGAAACCAACAAATTAATCAAACAAAACTAATATATAAGTTGGATTAAATCCTCATTTGGCGGAACTTACAGCATCAGAATTGGATGATATTATTTCTTAAATTCAAGTGCAACTGAAGCATCGAGTTTCACTCTTTCTGAGCCTTGAAATAATTTATCCAACGCTGATACACTGAAAATTTGAAATGAAAAATTAGGAGGTGATCAAAAAATGAGATAGGAAGGAAAACAAAATAAATAACATCACCTCAATATCATTTCATTAGTTCCCATTAATCAACAACTACAAACAAATTTCAATCAATGAAATAATATGTGACATAATAAGTAAGAATAAGAATTAAAAATTAAATTATTTCAACTTCATTTTTATTAGCTTTTATTTTATGATACATAATTTTATCATTTTATTCAAGCCAATCAAAGGTGATTGAAATTCTAATCAATATTAATATCTAATAAAATAAGCAAATAATTAGATACAATAAATTTCGACTTCAAACGAAAATGATGAAAAGAATTTTTAAAAAAAGGTACGAATTAAAATATTAAAAAAACCTGAATGAAGATTTGACAAAAAATCAAAAACAAATATATATTTGTGTTTGTTCAGTACAAATTATAATGCAACAATTTTTTTATTTTATATGTGTTTGATACTAAATAGGTACAAAAATACATAAATTACTAAATCTATAAATAATGGAACAAAATAATAAGGGAACAATTAAGAATTAATATAAAATTATTAAAATTTGGAAAAACAAAGTCTTTAGTTGGAAAAAAGTAAGATGAGCTCCATCAATTTATACATTACCAAAATTATCTTTCAATTTTTTTTTTAATTTTAACAAAACGAAAAGCAAGAAAAATAATTGAAAAAAAAAAAAAAAAAGAAGATAGTAAGGAAGTGATATGTCCATTTAGCTAAAAATTTGAATTTTAGCGAAAGATTTAAGTTTAGCATAACCTGTGTAAGCGATGGAAGGTTCCCAAATGCGTGAACCCGATTTAATCAAATCACACGTCCATCAATACAAATATTTCCAATGTGAGCAATATTTGGCCACTCCACACCAATATCCCTTTGGCATCTTTCCGATAGCTGGGGACATCCCCAAATACTCAATTCTTGTAAAGAGGTGAGAAAGCGCATCCCCTTTGGCATTGATGTCAAGTTACTGGAACTTGCAATGTACAGAGACCAAAGAGAAGTTTGGTTTTGTAGAAACTCCTCTGGCAGAGAATCTAGTTCTTCGATATCTACAAGCCACATTTTTGTCAATTTGGAGAAAGGAGGGAAAAGTGAAGAAGATGATGGTTCTTCTGATGTTGTCATCTTCAATTTCATTGTCTTTTGAAGTTGCTTCCAGCTGGTTTCATTCAAACGCAGCTCCCGAACAGAAGGAAACAGCGGCATAGAGGTTAGATTTGGGCACTGTCGTATTGTCAAATCTGAAAGGCAACGGAAGTAAGCCAGCTGTGCATTTGAAGCTTCATCAACATCACCGCTCCACCATCCCTTAAGATTTGGGCAATTCATGAGGTCGAGTTCCTCAAAGGATGGAAAAAATTTTGTTGATTTTGAAGACAACTCCTTTTGCATTTCAATCTCAGACACATTCTCCAAAACTTTTAATCCTGAAAGCCTAAGAAATTTGAGGAAAGAGAGCTGATGCAGTGGTGGCAGATGCTTGCATTCAACACAATCCTCTAAAATAAGTCGAGTTAAATTGGTGATGGAGGACAGCCAGCTAGAAATCTTGCTTCCTGGATACCCATACACCACAAGCATCTCTAGATTTGGGTGTGGTTCGAAGCCTTCAAAAACCAATTCAGACTTCTCATTACTTGCATCATCATCCTCCTCCTCCTCCTCATCATCATCATTCTCCTCATTTCTCCAGCTCAATTTCAAGTGTTTCAAATTCAATTTTTCTTTCAAGTAAGAAGATCCAGGCTCTGGAATAGCATTTTTTAAAGAAGAAATACGTATTTTTCCTTTGAGGTTGTTCAGTCCATTCAATTCCCTTAACTCACCAACACCCTTGCCTCTCTTTCCCACAATAAACTCATTTAACGTTCGCAGACAAGTTAGTAGCCCTAGTCCACGTGGCATGTAAGCCAAACTACCACAACCGTCAATATATAGATATCTAAGGCTAACTAACCTTATTGTTTTCCTCGGCAATTTTTCAAGATCCGAGCAACCAGAAAGATGTAATGTTTGCAAATTCTGTAGCCTACACAAAGAACTAGGCAGTTTTTAAGATTTTCATTTCCAATAAGATAAAGACCCCTTAAATGTTTCAATTTGCCTATGGAATGCGTAACCTCTCAATACCTGAGAAACTCAAAATTCAAAGAGCGTAGGCTACCTAAAATTAGAAATAAGTGCATTGCAAATGGATTGATTCAAGCTGCCATCCGGAAGAAATATTGTCCTTAGTTTCTTTGCTTTGTGCAAAGTGCTTAGAATTTTCAAAAGCATCTAATTCATCTTCAAATAACACATGGCGAGTTCTTTCATCTGCATTTCTGCTTCTAGACTTGCAATGCAGTACTCAGTCCCAGCAACAGAGCATGCAAGATCATGCATTAGATCGTGCATTGTGAATCTCTTCACATTTCCCGAATCATCTTCTTCTGCAACCTGAAAAAAAGATTTCCAAAGCAAATCCATGAAATACTCATGCCCAACATCTTCTAGATCTTCGTCTCCACTTAGTGGCTGGATAAACCCTTGGGCCATCCAATACATGATCAAATCCTCAACCCAAAACTCAGTGTCCTTCAGAATTAAAGAGCAATAAGCAAAACATTGCCTCAAATGTGGTGGAAGATGATCATAACTCAACTTTAAAACTGGCATAATACCACTTTCTTGTTGAGTTATATACTTAACTATATTATTCTTCACCTTTACCCATTCAGCTTCTGTTCTTTTAAATAGTACATTTCCTATCGCCCTTAAGGCAAGAGGGACCCCTTTACACTTCTCTACAATCTCCATTCCAATTGCTTCAAAGTGTGAAGCATTAGATTCGTGGCTTTTGGTTCTTTAAATGCCATTTGCTTCCAGTAGTGACCATGATTTGGCTTTTTGACAATCCTTCAAAGCTCATGTGGTAAAACTGTGCTTGTGATTTCTGCAACCAGCCACATACGAGTACGTGATACAATCCAACTCCCTTGCCACCACCTAATAGCAATTTCTCAAATTGAGCCCACTTTTAAACGGACCTCGATTCCATACATCATCTAGGACTAGGCAAGTATTCTTCCATTTTAATGTTTCACCGAAGAAATTTTTGCAGTGTTTCCATCTGGAGGTCCCTTTCAGGTTTGTTCCAGTTTGCAGCCTCAATGATTTTTTCCCACAATGAGTTTTAGCTCAACTTCTCTGAGAACACAACCCACAATTTTAGCTGAAATGTTCTCCAACATTTTTATCGTTGAATACATTTTAGCTTAATGTAAGTCCTTTCCTATCCTCCAATCCTATTAGGGAACAATTGAAACATTTTCTTCAAGTTTGGTTGTAGCAAGCAGTTTTACAATTTTTTTTTATCATAATCTCTTCCAATTATTTCTTCTTCACGCACAAAGGAATAGTTTGATCCCTCTCCTTAACTTCAAGCAGTGACTCTACCGGGCTGTCGTAAAGTGAAATTTGGTTCTATCAGCTGCAATTTTATCTAGCCTCTTCTAATGGCTTAACTCTATGACCCATCTTGAGACTATATGCAAGCTGGTTTGATTTGGAGAAGAAAACGCGTACCTTTTTAACCATTTCATTCCCTCTCATTATCTTCGCCGCAAAGCTTCAGTAGAAAAATCGTCCAGCAAGTCATCCACGTCGTAAAGCACATCTTTGAGCTGTCCGAGCCAGACCGTCACTTCATGGTTGTTGTTTCTTTGTTGCTCCTCCGCATCACGAAGCACACCTTTGATCAAGGAAAAAGTGTCTTTGAGCTTGGTGATTTCTCTTTGACACCCAGGGCAAACCAAGTTCTTGGTGAGCCAATGATGCCAGACCCACCAAGAGTTTCAGCAAAATTGAACAGGAAGCCTTCTGCCATTTCTAGATTTCTTCCTTCGCAGCAGGAAACACTAATCTCAATGGTTGGTTTTCTTTTTTTTTTTTTTTAAGAAATTTCAGATGGTTTTGAAAGAAAGTGATCGAAGATACCGGACAAGGCGTCTGAGTCAACTCCAAGTCTGAATGGTCAAAAGTCTTTAAGTTTATGATGCAAGATGTGCCACGTAGGTATGGGATTATTAAAAAAATTACAAATAAAAGTAATGGAGGATAGTATATACAGTCAACGGTCAAAAAAATAAAACAATTTTTAATGCTTGGGCCTGGGGTGAAAATTTTTGTGGCAAAAGATAGAGAAAGATATATAAATATATTATATTATATTATATAAATATATGGCATATCTCCCTTACAAAAACTAGTGGTTGGAGCCTTATCGGTTAAATTAAGATTTTATCCGAGTTTGATTGATTTTATCAAAATTTATTATTTTGTAGGTTTTTTTTTTTAATTTGTATTTCACATGAGCTTTCTTCTTAAACGACTTTGATTTTTTTTTTTAAGTTCTTTGAATATTTATTTTTGTTTAATTTTTTTAAATTAATATAGTTGAATTATTTGATATTTTGATTATTTTTTTCAAAGTTTCAATTGGAAATTAGGAGTTTAAATTTTAAATTTATTTTTTAAATTTAAATTTATTATATATTTGTTAAATATATATAATTTTTTCACATTTATTATATTATGTTACATATTTTAATTTTTTTAAGTATGAAATTATCTTATTTGTTAAATATATATACTTTTTTCATATTTCTTATATTGTCTTACATATTTTAATTTTTTAAGTATGAAATTATTTTATTTGCCAAAAAAATGAAATTATTTATAATAGAACTTTATTATTTATCATATAATAAATTAAATTTTTAAATATTTACATTTTTAAATATTTTTATTGATTCTATAATTGGTTGATTGATTCAATTGCATCAATAATTTAATAATATATCAATTTGAGCAATTCATTATTCAATGTGATTTTGATAATTACGCTAATAAATATAGTCCTGCTAGCATTTGGAATTAAAATTCAACATAAATTGATAAACACTCTTTTATCTTGTGATAATAATTTTGGACAAATTATTCACGATAAAAATTTTGTAGTTAGCAACCGAAACTTAATTCATTTATGTTCTTATACTTCTTTTTAATAAATTATATCTAATAAATTTAAAATTTGAATCGTAATATTTATAATTTTTTATTTTATTCTTAGATCACAACCTTTTTTTTATTAAAAAGAAAATCATAGTTAGAATATCGTTACTCTTTCATGTTTTGTAATTAAGATTTTTAATCCAAATATTTTGGAAACAAAATAAATAATTAAGAAAAAAATAAAAATTTTATAATCATCGTAACAATGAAAATGATAATTATTATTAAACTATAACTTTTGAGCCAAAAAAAAAATGTGGGTCATACTTTTCCAATATTTTTTATTTTCAAATTTTTACCTAATTATTTATTTATTTAATTTATTTTTTCTCATCAATATTAGCATTAATTTTGACGAAATCATCCATTTTTAACAAAACAACATATTAAATTTGTTGAAGCTTAATATAATATTAATTAAATCTGATTTTTAAGTTTTATTTTTGTATTTACAAATCAAATTTACAATGTTAAGTGGAGATTGAATATGCCAACTCGATAAATTTTGTCAAGACAACATTTACCTTTTCCCTTCTATCTTTCTTTTCAATTTCATGTTTTTTTCAAATTCGAGATAAAATATAATTATTAATTTTATTAGTAATTTTGTGAATAATATTTTCTATTCAATGAATATTTGTTTTCATTCATGCCAATATTAATTATTTCTTACTCCATTGCCTTTATTCATAACTTATTATTATCAAATAAGTGTGGGTGGAATTAGCATCAAAGATGATGGAAGTGAAATATCTACCATTTGAAACATTAACGCTATATCTGAATTAAGGGGAAAAAGAGAAGAAAGGAAAAATAAAAGAAAGTAATGAAAAGCGAAAAAAACTTTTTTTATTTAGATAAATTTTTAATTTAAAGAAAAAAAAAGAGGTAAAAACTAAATAATCTTTAGTTTTCTTTGTAATCCTCTTTTTTTTTTAATGTCTCAATTTGAGAAAAAAGTTAAGGAAAAAAAAGTTGAAAAAAATTTTATTTTTATAAAAATACTATTATATTTATATTTTTATTAAGACATTAGATTTCATTATACAACTAACACTTCTTACAAAAATAATTTTTTTATGAATATTTTATATAACAAAACAGTTTATAAAATATTTTATAATTTTTTAAGTCTTAACAACAAAACAAGCTAAATAATTGTCAAAATAAATTAAAAGACTGAATTAAACATAAAATTAAGAATAAATCAATAACTAACTAACACATCTTACCATATTAAATATGCTTAATTTTATTTAAAAAGATTTATTTATACAAGCTAAGTAGTATAAAGATATATTTGTATTTATAAAAAAAAGTTATAATTGAAAAAAATATTATAATGAATTATTATCTTTCCTTTTCATTATTTATCCAAACAATAATTGTTACAATTATTTTTCTTTTCTTTATTAATATTCATTATCCAAATAAAAGATACATATACTCTTTTCTTTCTTTTAAAAAACTTTCATTTTCTTTTATTCATTAATATCCATCCAAAAATGACATAACTAAAAATATTTACTCAAATCGGAGCTGAAATTTTCTTTTCTTTAAACTTTAATGGCTAGAGTAAAGAATATCATATTTTCCCAAGCAAACAAGCACTTGTTGGAAAGGGAAACAAAGTAAGCGAATGAAGCTTGAATGGAGCAACCATCGTCACCAGGGAATAAACCCAGTTGACTTGAGGAACTGTCTAAAGAGCTAGTGAAGTTCACTTTCCACTCTTACCTCAATGGAACTCGTGAATAGGATATTAGGCTCTCAAGATAATTTTGCTCCTCTCTCATCAATCACTAATCAACCCACCCCATCTCCCCTAATGCCGGTAAGAAATAAAAAGTAACCATGAAAAATCTTTTTTTTCTCCAGCTTTTTTTTTTTTTTCAATTACATGTCTTGGGATTCATTTCTTTGAATAATAAAAAATTCCTCGAGGGTCTCTCAAAAGCCATTATACATACATTAGCATTGGCTTTATATGAAATCATAACATTTGGATGACTTTAAGGGTTATCTAAGTGTAGCAAATTGGCATAATTTTGTCAAAGCAATAACTTGAAGTTAAAAGAAGAGTGGTTTGACTTTGTTCATGAAAAAAAATTCGAATTAGTTGGAGTTTGTCCTTCTAATAATGATAGTTTTACCTATTCCATTTGTATCTTCATAGTCAATTTGTTTATCTAATCATTGTATTTCATTAGATTTTGAGAAACATCAATTTTGAATTTCATGTTCAATAGCCTTTCTTCACTTAACTAAAGGGTATTATTCTATTCCAAAAAATATTTATGCTAATGATTATGCTTCTGTTTTTTTTTTTTTTTTTTGGGTTTGTGTATAAAAAATTATTAAATTCTTTATTTCTTTATCTTAGTAGTTTTCTTTCTCTAATAACTAAGTTGAAATAGAGGAATTTGAACTTGAGACTTGCCTTTTCTAGCAAAGGTGAAACCATGGTTTCACTATTTGCTCTTTTTTATTATTATTTAGAAGTAATATCTTGTCATCTACACATTTTCCTTTATATTCTATTCAAGTAAAGATTTTTCTTTTTATTGTTTGTAGATGGTTTCAAAACAATGAAGGGAAAATGTGTTGTTGGTAACTATAACAGGTATGCCTTACCTTTAGGCATTTGTACAAATCTGGTATTGTTTGATTTTTTCTGTTATTTACTTTGTTTCTTTCTAAGAGACTATAGGAAAACTCTAGGAAAAAAAAAGAAAAAGAAAAAAGAAGAAGAAGAGGTGGAAATGTAATTTTTTTAGAACACGTTGCTAGTATAATATTCAATAACATTTCTTTTTTAGTTTGTCAGGTGAGGTTCAAGGGCTTAAACATTTATCAAAGTGTTTTTCTTGCTCTCGGACTTAGTTAATTTACTTTGAATAGTTAAGTATATTTTATAAACTTTCCTATATATATTTTTTACTTAGTGCTTTGATCATAATTGCATTTGAAGATTTGATCCTCTTTAACAAACTCTTAATACTTGAGGTTTAGGTAATAGCAGATATTTTTCTAATTATCCATGCTTTTTTTATCTTTTTCTTAATCATCTAGTTTCTTTAAACAATTTTTTTTGGTAGGATGTTTACCATCATGCTTTATTCTTTGAGATGTTGGAAGCAGAAAGTCTTGCAAAGGTGCCTCTTGGAGTTAAAATCATAGATGAAGGTAATGATTCAATACATTATTATCTGAGCCCTCTTATATGTGATGTTCAAACTTTATATGGTATCAGTGGCAATAGCTTATGTTTGTGATTCCATGCTATAATTTTTTTCCTTTACATTTATTTTGTCTTAAAAGATCAATAAGGAAAATTTTGAACTTTTGGACATCAGAACTTTTTGAAGGGTTCTATTTATCATACTTGGGCATCATGCAAATTGTTGCTCTTTCAAGCATTCAAGTTTACAAAAAGTTTTACTCAGAAGAAAAGGAAATGACCAATGGTGTTTTTGCAATTTGTATTGCAAAAGTGGTTGCTGCAACCTTACCTTTTATTGGCCAAAATGCTATCCATGAATGAGCTAACTTTGTCCTATTTTGATTTATGCATATAACTTTATGCTTATGTGAAATTTTCTATCTTATAGTAAGGAAAAATTCTTTCTCTCAGAATACAGCTCATTAACAAATAGGAAGAATCACAAAGAGGCAAAAGTTATATCAAGTACTCAAACCAGAAATCTTCAAATGTAACAAACCAAAATGAAAACTGCAACCTTTGCCTAAAAAAAAAAATACCATAACTGAAAATGAATAGAGTTAACTTGCTTTCAAAGGATTTTTGAATATGCTTTAATTGTGGAGTATTTGGATATAAAAAATTTGGTAATTCTGATGTTGTTAGGAAAGGATAGTTGATGTATAGAAAATTGGTTTATCTACATTTAAAAGTGTTTAATGAGAGTAAGCTTTGCAAATATGGTGCATCTCATTTACATCATAAATGCATATAGATTACATACATGAAAGCCCTACTTTAGTTAAAAATCCACATTAGCACTTTCAATGTCCATCTGCCTCAGCATAAAATAGTTTTCTATACACTTTAGGGATTGTAGTCTCCTTGTTGCAGTAGCCTATATGTGGGCTAGGAATGTTGTAAACTATGCTGACATAGTTGTATCCTTCTACTTATTCAGTTTTGTGCTAAATCATTATGTTTGATTTTAGAAGTTGACATATAAAGTGTTCTAAGGCTTTTAAATCAAGAGCATCTTGTTGGATCTATTCCATGAGAACTCCTTTTTGTAAGAGTTAGTTTTCTGCTACACTCTAAATACAAGTCAAATGCGAGACAAGGACACATGGTCTAATGATTACTTGTTTGTCTTATACTCCTTGTAAGAGAATTGATTGGTATAGCATCTAGGAATATTTTTTGTTTCCTTAGCTTTGAATGTTGTGATTAATTAACAAAAGTCCAACATATGGAATAGATTGAAATTGGGATGAACTTATTTAGCCCATGGCCATACACATATCATACAGGTCTATTAGTTTTCTTCACAATAACTATGCTTCATATCTTAATAGAACTTCAAGTATAAAGTTTTGAGCAACTATTGAAATTGATAATTTTAAGACATCTTAAACACACAAATGATGTCCACTAACAGTTATATATTGATATCTAATGTGTAAAATATTAAAATTATCAATTAGCAATTTGTGTCAATTGGTTAAATATAATTTTTTTATTTTTTTCAAATTTATTAAACAATCTTTATTAAAATTTTAAATTGTATATTTTTTTATAAATTGTTTCGCATCTACTTTTCATATTAAATTTAAAATTATCAAGTTTATTCCACAAATTTTCTCAAGTTCTTGCAAGTCGTGACAATGGATTGATGAACCTCTATCAAACTTGTACAACATCTAAGTTTTAATTTTTCAAGCTTAAGAATCCAACTAAGTTTGGTTTTCATAGGCGAATTGAATCACTCAAATAAAATATTTTTAGTTTGCAAAAATTATATTGCAGACATAGATGAAAATAAAAAAAAATCAAAATAATCAGTAGTAAGAAAAAATAGAAAAGTATGATAAAGAAAATATTTTTAAATAATTTTTTAAGTTCGAATAAAAAATGTCACAAAGTATAAGAAAAATCTTAACATTTCAATAAAAGACAAGGTTAAAAGTTTATTTTGAAAAATTAAACATTTTTTTGAGAAATTAAAAAAAAATAGTGAAGTTCAATCGAAAAAAAAAGTATTTATTTTTTTAAGTAAAAAAAAAAAAAATTATCCCTAATACATTGGTTACTGTTGAATTTGAAACGAGGTGAAACGTGAAAGTCATTCAACAATGGAGCTCAGCTCAGTAAACAAAAATGGAATATTTTCATAAAAGACAAAAAAAAAAAGGAAAATGGAAGAACTTGAGCTAAGAAATAAAAAGAAATGAAGAGAATAGGAGAATAGATAGAAGAAGTAACAAAGTTCACTCTCCAATCGCACATCAACAAATCCCTCAATTTTGAACTCCGTTTCTCCCCTGATTTCTGCTCCAACCTTCTCATCGATTCCCACACCGTCGATCCCAATCCAGGTAAGACTACCCAAACCAAAATTTTTGCTTTCTTGTTCTATTTTTGTCCAAATTCCTAACTTTCTCTGTTAATCTTCACCTTTTGGTCCTTCCAAGAAGAGGGCCAAAAAGAAACAAAGAGAGACGTAAAAAATTGTGCCCATACCAAAAAAATTGAATCTTGATTGTTAGAGGATTGGTTATTGTAACAATTTTTATCCATTTGATAGAAGCATAATTGTTTTTTTTTTCTCACACTGGAATGGTGTAGATATTTTGAAGGGAGTTCCTTCATACCCTTTTTGCAACCATTTGGCATTGGCTTTGCGCCAATCCATAGTTTTCGGGTTCATTTGCAATAAACAAGGCAATTCAGCGTTAATGCATGATGAAATTTCTACGAAACAGAAGGAAGAGTGGAATAAGTTAGTTTCAAATAAGGGACTTGAATTTATCAAAGTTAGTTTGTTGTTGTTAATGCTTTTATTTATTTATTTCGATTTATGACTAATAATTTGTTTTCTTGATAGATTGTGAATAATATAGACATCGAATTTCATGTTCAAGAGCCGTTCTTTTCAATGTTAAGAGGTATTTTTGGTTGTTTTTATTCTTTACTAATACCCTTATTCCTTTGTCATTATCTAAGCAATTGAAATTTGACATTCTTTGCAAATGGCTTGAAGACAATTGAAGGAAGGTGTTCGATTGGTGAATACAATAAGTATGTCCTAGTTCCTTTTGCATGACTGTTATTTCCTTTCTTCAGCACTTATATTTTAAACTTGTTCTGTACAAAATGATTTTTGTTGGGCAACTTATTCAATTTTAAGGTCATTCATAACTTAAGGACAACTTGTTTAAGCTGACTGCCTGCCCCTCTTTTATTCGGTATTGGTTCCCCAGTGTCTTCATGGTAACCTAATTGATTTTGAATTCTTTTTCTTTTGATAAGTGACTTCTTTTTTTTATTCATATATTAATGATTTATTTATTTTAGTATTTAATCAGGTTCTATGATCCTTTTTAATAAATGTCTGGTGCGTGAAGTTCAGGTGATCTAATGCTTATGCCTTACATTTCCATGTTTATGTTCAGAGCTGGGCATTTCTAATTTTTTCAAATATCAGAATGTTCATAGTTATGCTACATTTTCTAAGATGTTGAAAGTCTTTCTTAAGTCCTTCCTGAAGTTAAATCCACTGAAGAAGGTAATGGCAATTGATGTTAACCCATGATTGGCCTTGAATTATATCTCTCTTCAAATGGGGAAAACATGGATTAATATCTTTCTCAAGGCTGTAGATGGAATGAGGGAACTTGCTACCACATTTTGAATGAGGATTAATATCACTGTATAATTATCATTTAAGACTAAGAGTAATGATGTTAAAAGATTGCATTTTGGTTCATTTGGCTCTATGTGGTTCTTTGAGAGTGGGTTGAACTTCATAAAACCATCAAATCTGTTAATATAGCTATTAATAGAATCTGGTTTCACTGAGAAATCTCAGAAATCCTAACTTTTCTTTTCTCAAAAACTTCCTAAAATGTATAGACTATAGAGGAATGTCAACAAATGTTAACAAATGATTCGACATAATAAGTATAGGTGGTTGGTAAAGTGTTGAATCCATAACTGAACCATGCATTTTTATGTGCTACTTAGCCTCCAACTTTTTATTTTATTTTTATTAATTATTAATCAGTAATCATATAGACATCCTTGTTTTTAGTTATATTAATCATTAATCATTTTGTTTTAGGACTCGAAAATCCAAATTCATTTCAAAATGTGGTAGGTTTTGTGACTTATCTTTATTTACGTTTAGCTATCATATAATTGTTTGATTTAGTCAATACTCGAGATGCATTGAAAGGAATATGATGGATAGTTACATTCTTGCTTCTAAACATTATGCTAATTCCTTTGTGGTATTTTTTTCATGCTTTTGTAGGTGTGCAAATATATAGGAAATTTTGTCAAGACAACATTTACCTTTCACCTCTCTATCTTTCTTTTTCAATTTCATTTTTTTTTTCAAATTCAATATAAAATATAACTATTAATTTTTATTAATAAATTTATGAATAATATTTTCTATTCAATGAATATTTCATTCTCATTCACGGCAATGGTAATTATTCTCACTGCATTCCCCTTATTCATAACTTATCATCATCAAATAATTGTAGGGGAACTAGCATCAAAGATGATGGAAGTGAAACATCTACCATTTGAAACATTATGTAAAAATGTTTATTCAAACCGAAAGTGAACTTTTTTTCATTTTTGCTTGATACTTTGATGGCTGCAGTAGAGGACCTCATATTCCCCCAGACAAAAAATCCTTTTTTGGAAAGGGAAACAAAGTAAGCGAGGGAAGCCCGAATGGAGCAACCATCGTCACCAGGAACAAACCCAATTGACCTAAGGAACTGCATAGAAGAGCTAGTCAAGTTCACTTTCCATTTTCACCTCAATGGAACTCTTGAATGGGATATTGGGCTCTCAAGACAATTTTGCTCCTCTCTCCTTAATCACCAATTAACCCACCCTATCTCCCCTAATGCCAGTAAGAAATGAAAAATACCCATGAAAAATCTTTTTTTTCTTTATATTTTTTTTTTCAATTACACTTCCTAGGATTCATTTCTTTAAATAATAGCAGATTCCTTTGGGGTTTCTCAAAAGCCTTTATACATACAGTTAGCATTGGCCTTACATGAAATCATAACATTTGGATCACTTCAAGGGCCATTTAAGTGTAGCAAATTGGCATCATTTTGTCAAGGCATTGGCATGAAGCTGAAAGAAGAGTGGTTTGACTTTGTTCATGAAAAAAGATCTGAATTAGCGGAAGTATCTCCTTCCGATGATGATGATTTTACCTATTCCAATTGTATCTTCATAGTTAATGTGTTTATCTAATCATTGTATTTCATCAGCTTTTGAGGAGCATCAATTTTGAACTTCATGTTCAGGAGCCTTTCTTCACTCAACTAAAGGGTATTATTCTATTCCAAAAATATTTATGCTTCTGTTTCTTACGTTTTTATTGAGTTTGTGTATCAGAAATTATTACATTCTTTATTTCTTTACATTAGTAGTTTTCCTTCTCCAATAGCTAAGTTGGGGCAGGGGAATTTGAACTTGAGACCTGCCTTTTCTAGCTAAGGTGAAACCATGGTTTCACTATTTGCTCTTTTCTTTAATTTTTTTTATTTAGAAGTAATATCTTGTCATCTACACATTGTCTTTTATATTCTATTCAAGTAAGGATTTTTCTTTTTATTGTTTGTAGATGGTCTCAAAACAATAGAGGGAAAGTGTGTTGTTGGTGACTATAACAGGTATGCCTTACCTTTAAGCATTTGTACAAATCTGGTATTGTTTGATCTTTTCTGGTATTTGCTTCATTTCTTTCTAAGAAACCACAAAAAACCTTTGGGAAAAAAAAAGAAAAGAAAAGAAAGAAAAGGTGGAAACATAATTTTTTTTTTTATATCATGTTGCTAGTATAATATTCAATAACATTTCTTTTTTAGTTTGTCGGGAGGGGTTCAAGGGATTAAACATTTATTGAAGTGTTTTTCTTGCCCCTGGACTTAGTTAATTTATGTTGAATAGTTGAGTATATTTTATAAACTTTCCTTTATATTTTTGTGTTTATTGCTTTGATTAGAATTGCATCTGAAGATTTGATCCTCTTCAACAAATGCTTGATACTTGAGGTTCAGGTAATAGCAGGTGTTTTTCTAGTTATCCATGCTTTTTTTTTTCTCTTCATCATCTAGTTTTTTTGGACATTTTCTTTTGGTAGGATGTTCACCATTATGCTTCATTCTTTGAGATGTTGGAAGCAGAGAGTCTTGCAAAGGCCTTTCTTGGAGTTAAAACCATAGATGGAGGTAATGATTCTACACATTGTAGTCTGAGTCTGTTATATGTGAAATTTAAACTTTATGTGGTATCAGTGGCGATACCTTATGTTTATAATTCCATGCTATAATTTTTTTCCTTTATATTTATTTTGTCTTAAAAGATCAATGAGGAAAATTTTAAACTATTGGACAAATCGAAACTTTTTGAAGTGTTTTATTCATCATACTTGGGCATCATGCTAATTGATTAAATGTTGCCCTTTCAGGCATTCAAGTTTACAGGAATTTTTACTCAAAAGAGAAGGAAATGATCAATGGTGTTGTTGCAATTTGTGTTGCAAAAGTGGCTGCTCAACCTTACCTTTCATTAGCCAGAATACTAGCTGTGAGTGAGCCAACTTTGTCTTGTTTTGATTCATGCCTATAACTGATGAATATGTTAAATTCTCTGTCCTCTATTAAAGGAAAATTCTTTCCCAAAGAATAAAGTTCATCAACAAATAGGAAGAATCACAAAGAGGCAAAAATTATATTATGTACTCAAACTAAAAAGCTTCAAATGTAAGCAATCCAAAATGAAAACTACAACCTTTGCCTCAAAATAATACCATAATTGAAAATGAATTGAGCTAACTTGGCTTTGAAAGAATTTTGGAATATGCTTTAATTGTGGAGTATTTGGTTATAAAAAATTTGGTAATTTTGATGTTGTTAGGAGAGCATAGTCAATGTATAGAATATTGGTTTGTCTGCATTTAAAAGTGTTTAATGAGAGTAAGCTTTGCAAATGTTGTGCATCTCACTTACATCATAAATACATATAGATTACATACATGGAAGCCTTACTTTAGTTGAAAATCCACATTAGCACTTGCAATGTCCATCTGCCACAGCATAGAGCAGTTTTCTGTACACTATGGGGATTGTAGTCTGTTTGCTGCAATAGCCTATATGTGGGTTAGGAATGTTGTAAAGTGTGCTAACATAATTGTATCCTACTCCTACTTTTTCACTGTTGTGCTAAATTATTATGTTTGATTTCAGGGGTTGACATATGAGAGTGTTCTAAGCCTTTTAAATCAAGAGCATCTTGTTATATCTATTCCATAAGAACTCCTTTTAGAAAAAGTTACTTCTCTGCTACACACCAAATACAAGTCAAATGCAAGATGAGGAGACATGATCCGATGATGAACTTTTAGTTGTCTAATACTCCATGTTAAGAGAATTGCTTGGTATAGCTTCTACGAATATCTTTTGTTTCCTTGGCTTTGAATGCTGTGACTGATTATCAAAAGTTGCAATATGTGGAATGGACTGAAACTGGGTTGAACTTATTCAGCACCATGGTCACACATCATACGGTCTATTAATTTTTTCACAATAATTCTGTTTCATATCTCAATAGAAACCTCAAAGTGTAAAGTTTTGAAAAACTATTGAGGTTGATAATTTTAAAACATTTTAAAACACAAATGTTGTTCACAAACAATTTATATATTGATGTTTAAATGTGTAAAATATTAAAATTATCAATTAACAATTTGTGTCAATAGGTCAAATATAATATACATACATATATTTTGTCAAATTTATTAAACAATCTTTATTAAAATTTTAAATTATATTATTTTTGTATCTTTTTATAGATTGTTTTCATATCTACTTTTCGTATTAAATTTAAAATTGTGAAGTTTATTTGCAAGTTTCCTCTGAGCATGACAGTGAATTGATAAACTTCTACTAAATTTATGCAACGTCTAAGTTTTAATTTTTCTAGGCTTAGGAGTTCAGTTAAGTTTAGTGTTTTTATAGGCAAATTAAATCACTCAGATAAAGTATTTTTGATTTGTCAAAAAATTGTGTTGCGGACATAGATAAAAATAGAAAAATATAAAAAAAATAGTAGTAAGAAAAAAATACAGAAAAGTATGTATAGAATAATAACTTTTTAAGTAATTTTTTAAGTTCGGATAAAGTGTTACAGAAAATATAAGAAAAACGAAATCTTAATATTTCAATAAATGACAATGTTAAAATTTTATTTTGAAAAATTAGACATTCTTTTTAGAAATTAAAAAAAATAAATGTGAAATTCATCCGAAATGGAAAAGTATTTATTTTTTTGAAGTATAAAAAAAAAAAAGTATGCCTAATGCATTCGTTACAGTTGAATTTGAAACGACGTGAAATGTGACAGTCGTTCAACAACGGAGCTGAGCTCAGCAAACAAAAATGGAAAATTTTCATAAAAGAAAAAAAAAAAAAGAAAATGGAAGAAGTTGAACTAAGAAATAGAGAGAAATGAAGAGATGAGGAGAATGTATAGAGGAACTAATGAAGTTCACTCTCCAATCCCACGTCAACATATCCCTCAATTTTGAACTCTGCCTATCCCCCGAATTCTGCTCGTACCTCCTCATCAATTCCCATACCGCCGATCCTAATCCACGTAAGACTACCCAAACCCAAAATTTTGCTTTCGTTTTCCTTTACATGTCCAAATTCTTAACTTTCTCTGTTAATCTCCACCTTTTGGTTGTTCCAAGAAAAAAAAGGGCCTAAAAGAAACGAAGAGAAACGCTAAAAATTGTGCCCATACAAAAAAAATTGAATCTTGATTGTTAGAGGATTGGTTATTGTAGCAAAATTTACCCATTTGATAGAAGCATAATTGTTTTTTTTTTTCTTTTCATACTGGAACGGTTTAGATATTTTGAAAGGAGTTCCTTCATGCCATTTATACAGGCATTTGGCATTGGCTTTGCACCAATCCATGGTTTCTGGTTCGTTTGCAATAGACAAGGCAATTCAGCATTAATGCGCGATGATATTTCTATGGAACAGAAGGAAGAGTGGAATAATTTGGTTTCAAATAAGGGACTTGAATTGATTAAAGTTAGTTTGTCATTGTTGATGCTGTTTCTTTTTTTTTCCCCTTTAGGTTTATGACTAATGAATTGTTTTCTTGATAGATTATGAATAGTATAGACTTTGAATTTCATGTTCAAGAGCCATTCTTTTCAATGTTAAGACGTATTTTTTGGTTGTTTTTATACTTTACCAATGCCCTTATTTCTTTGTCATTATCTAAGCAATTGAAATTTGACATTCTATGCAGATGGCTTGAAGACAATTGAAGGAAGGTGTGCAGTTGGTGAATACAATAAGTATTTCCTAGTTCCCTTGCGTGATTGTCATTTCTTTTCTTCAGCGCCTATACTTTAAACTTGTTCTGTACAAATTGATTTTTGTTGGGCAACCTATTCAATTTTAAGGTCCTTTGTTACTTAAGGACAACCTATTCAAGTTGACTGCCCACCACCCCTTTTTGTTCAGTATTGGTTCCGGGGTGTCTTCATGGAAACCTAATTGAATTTGAATTCTTTTCCTTTTGATAAGTGACTTCTTTTTTTTTTTTATTCATATATTAATGATTTATTTATTTTAGTATTGAACCAGGTTCTATGATCCTTTTTAATAAATGTCTGGTGCTTGAAGTTAAGGAGATCTAATGCTTATGCCTTGCAGTCCATGTTTATGTTCTGAGTTGGGTATTTCTAATTTTCTCAAATTTCAGAATGTTCATCGTTATGCTACATTTTCTAAGAAGTTAGAAGCTGAAAGTCTTTCTCAAGTCCTTCCTGAAGTTAAATCCACTGAAGAAGGTAATGGCAATTGATGTTAACCCATGATTGGCCTTGAATTATATCTCTCTTCAAATGGGGAGAACATGGATTACTTTGTCATAAGGTTTGAAGGCTGTAGATGGAATGAGGGAACTTACTACCACATTTTGAATGAGTATTAATATCACTGTATAATTATCATTTAAGACTGAGAGTAATGATGTTGTTAAAAGATTGGATTCTGGTTCATTTGGTTCCATTTGGTTCTTTGAGAGTGGATTTAAAATCATAAGACCACCAAATCTGTTAATATTGCTATTAATAAAATCTGGTTTCACTAAGACATCTCAGAAATCCTAACTTTTCTTTTCTAGAAACTTCCTAAAATGTATAGACTATAGAGGAATGTCAACAAAAGTTAACAAATTATTCGACATAATAAGAATAGGTGGTTGGTAAAGTGTTGAATCCATAACTGAACCATGCATTTTTATGTGCTACTTAGCCTCCAACCTTTTATTTTTATTTTTATTAATTATTAATCATTAATCATATGGACATCCTTGTGCCTAGTTATATTAATCATTAATCATTCTGTCTTAGGACTTGGAAATCGAAATTCATTTTAAAATGTGGCAGGTTTTGTGACTTATCTTCGTTTATGCTTAGCTATCATATAATTGTTTGATTTAGACAATACTTGAGATGCATTTAAAAGGAATATGATTGGTAGTTACATTCTTGCTTCTAAACGTTGCTAATTCCTTTGTAGTAATTTTTTCATGCTTTTGTTGGTGTGCAAATATATAGGAAATTTTATACAGAGGAGAAAGAAAGGTCTAATGGCATCCTTGCAATCTCTGTTTCTAATTTGGTAATCTTTATTCTGATGAATGGTAATCTTTATTCTCATAAATATGCTCCATCTTAGATCTAAGCAAGATCATTACATGATTTTATGAGCTGTATTTTAAAGGATTTTTGGAACTTGATATTAGCTATTATATCATGCCATAATGGTAGCAAGGTTACTGACCATATACATAAGAGAAAAGGAATTTTGGAGTAATAGAGATTTATTATGTTACCAAATGAAACATATTGAATTGACTGTATATGACAATGTCTACTTTATTAGTTGGCCACATTAACAGATTGCTTAACATCAATTGTAGTTATATCTTTGCTGACAGTGAATCAAAAGGAATCCACCATGTGCTAGTGCCTTTTATGGGTCTATATGTACGTCATACTTTCTCTTTATGCTTGTAGCTTGTGTAGGAGTTGAATTTGTTATAAAAGTTATTTCTAGCTGCATGTGCCTATTTCTGCCTGTTTCAAATTTTAAATCATGTTGGCAGAGAGATCAATTTCATTGCCATTCATATATGTAGTTAAGGACTGATTACAGATGTCGTTTCACTTCTTACAAGATCGGCATTAGTGTTATTACTTTGTGCTTGTCTACATATGCACTACCTCCTTGACTCCCATATAACCGATAATATCGAGTCCGTACCAATTACTTTCCCAATAAAACTGAGTGTATTTTATAAGTGCCCAAGCGAACGTTTAAAAGTTTAACTTTTTAATCTAGGAACTGAGTTATGAAGGTGTTCAAAACCTGCTGGGTCTAGCGCATACTGCTGGAATAATTTCTGCTGCACTCCCCCCGCCAAAATCAACGCTTCTCTCATCATTTACGTTGCCATATAATCCAGATGTAAGATAATGACTTGAGAAGGCTTTTTTCCCTTTCTTCTTCTTTACCCTAAGGTTTTTCTTACATTGGACTTTCTTTCATTTTCTCAACTGAACATGTCGCAATTAGTATGCATGATTTTTAGCATTCAAATAAAAAAAGAAATGAGAAGGCTTGGATATGTTGATAGAAGAACTATCCTTTTTCTCTATAAAAAGGGTGTTTGTAATTAAAATGCAAAGAACCGCCACAGTCTTGGTGGTGCAGTGAGAAGAGGCTTTTCATATTTTTCTCACACCATGCATGGGCAAGAACTACTAGATAAATGTATGTTCGGGTGTTCCTTTTTTCTTTCTTGTGATTCAACTTTTGGTCTTTGACCTGGTGAAGCAAAACATTTTAATCTACCCAGGTGTTACATTCTTGCCGTTAATATATTGTATGACTTGATTATGGTTTTTCTTCTTTTTGTGGTCTCTAGGTCAAATGCAGTACCTTGACTCATGGAGCTAGGGCCTTGGCTAAGCATGCTGATCGAAGTAGCGATAAGTACTGGGGTAATTTAAATGGAAGTAGTGAGTTATGTGGATTCAACTTGTCATCATGTTGCTGACATGTTTTTTCTTTTTGTCTCTATTTTATTTGTTTTTGTTTTATGTATGTGTGTCATTAATTTTGACTATAGAATTGTTTGAAGTTAGATTTTCATGATTTCTTTGTTTGAAGGGATCCTTGAACTTAATCATGAAGTTACTTTTGTTTACATTTGAAGATAGGTGCATTTTCTTTAGATATGGGCAACAATTAGAATGGAGAAGAGGATAATCATATTAGTTAATAGATTTGCCTCCGAGTGCAAAGTTGGACCTTTCCAATATTACAAAACTAAAATTGTTATTGGGATGCATAAATGGTCTATGTTGAGTATTACGTATACACACATATGGAGCTTCATTATTCCTTAAGTGACTGACCATCTAATCAGTGCTGTCCTATTTCCATCTCTCCAGATTCAAATAAAGATAATCTTGCTTGCAATGGGTGTCATTACTGATTTGATCACTAATTCTAGCTGGTTGAATGTGTATATTGTTCGACCACATGGTGCTGTCTTTGAGATACGGGTTGATGAAGGTTATGGTACATGCTGGTCGAAGGCTGGAACTAAGGTAAACGTTTATCGTTAAGAGCATAGTTATGGTATGCGTGTATGAATATATGGATGTATGTATGGTAGGGATCCATTTATATCGATGTGAACTGGTTGTACATACTGCTAAAACAACTTGATGCCATTCCTTTAGAAGATACAAAATTAGCTTTGCTGGAAGATATTTCACTTTAATATTTAACCTCATAAACTATATAGTTTTTAGCATTTTCTACAGCCACTACCAGATCTTTGGATTTTGACCATCTAAATTTCCGTTGTTTCAGTTCATTGGATTTCTAGAACCATTGAAGGAATGGGAGCATTGACTTGACTCTGAAGATGTTTGCAGTGGCTTCCACAATCTACAAGGTATCCCCTTCTATTTAATTGCTACCCCAGTTTGTGAAGCTTTGGTTTCACAAAATGTGAATCACTGATTATGTGTCATTTGTCACAACGACAAATGAACTCATGTTTCTTCTCTCTTTTTGGCCGCCTATGAATCACTTGCATAATATACTGTCTTTAATCTTCTTTCTCTTTTTGTTCATTTTATTATCCTTTTTTTTCCCAGTTGTTTCATTTCTATTCTCTTTCTTTCTTCCCTAAAAAATGGTAATTCTTTTCGCCTTTGAAGAGCTTTTTATTAAGTCGAAGTTTGGCATTGCCATGGGGTTGTAAAATAGTGAATTGGGCCAACAGAATGCCAAATGGTTTGAAATTTGAAGTTTCGTGGCTTTTCACCTCAGTTTTTTTATATCACAGGTATATCACAGGTTTAACCTAACAGTTGCTTCTAGTTCTTTTTTCGTGTCATTTGGTCTTTCTTTTTTTTTGCGTTTGAACCGTAATTATTAAACTTGAACCAGATATGAAAACTCATGTGACGGGGTTATTAGTGTCATGTGCGCGCGTGTGTATATGTATAATGGATATTTGAGCCAGAAAAATATGGTTAAAATAAAAGTTCGATGCATAATACTGAAAAAAAGACTTATTATATGACAGTTTTAGTGGTGTAGACTCTAGAATCTAATCATTACACATACTATGGTAATATTAAGAATATATGTAAAAGTATGTAATTTTATCATTTTATATTTGTTATCAAAATATGTAATGAAGCAATAATGGAGGTAGCCTTTGACTCAACTTTAATGGATCAATTGAGTTTTTGAGTTTCAAAAGAAATTCCTTTTGCTTGGCAACTCTCAATTGACATAAGAGATCTGAATGCATGAAATTCTCGCAAAACTTTTCAACATTCCCAATTACTACCCCAATTGGAATGTAGTAAAATGGATTGTTCATGAGCAAGCAACTTAAGATGGTACATGGAATTGATGAACATAAAACAAATTCATTCGCACCTAATTACATCATCAATTCAAAAAGTTCCGAATATTTCAATACTACTTGCATGCCAGGGCACATTCTTTTTTTTTTTTTTTAATTAAGTTACATATTACAAAATAAAAATTACAAGTACAATCAAATAACACTCAATGTATTTCAAATAGTACCTATATGAAAGAAAAACAAATAAGCACACCAAACAAACAAATTAATCAAACAAAACTAATATATAACTTGGATTAAATCCTCATTTTGCGGGACTTACAACGTCAGAATTGGATGATATTATTTCTTGAATTCAAGTGCAGTTGAAGCATCGAGTTTCACTCTGTTATGAGCCTTGAAATAATTTGTCATAAGCTGATACACTGAAAAATTGAAATGAAAAAATTAGGAGGTAATAAAAAAAGGAGATAGGAAGGAAAACAAAATAAATAGTATCACCTCAAGATCATTTCATTAGTTCCTATTAATCAATAACTACAAATAGATTTCAGTATGTGAAATAGTATGTGACATAATAAGTATGAATAAGAATTAAAAATTAAATTGAATTAAAAAAAATTATTCCAACTTCATTTTTGTTAGCTTCTATTTTATGATACATTATTTTATCATTTTATTCAAGCCAATCAAAAGTGATTGAAATTCTAATCAATATTAATATCTAATAAAATAAGCAAATAATTAGATCCATTAATTTTAGACTTGAAACGAAAGCGATTAAAAAAATTTTTTTTTAAATGTTACGATTTAAAATAGTTAAAAAAAAATTAATGAAGATTTGACAAAAAATAAAAAATAAAAAATGTTTATGTTAGACATGTTGATACAAATTATAATATAATAATTTTTTTATTTTTATGTGTTTGATACTAAATAGGTACAAAAATACATAAATTACTAGATCTATAAATAACTGAAACAAAATAATAAGGGAACAATTAAGAATTAATATAAAATTATTAAAATTTTGAAAAACAAAGTCTGTAGCTGGAAAAAAAGTAAGATGAGCTCCATCAATTTATACATTACCAAAATTAGCTTTCAATTTTTTTTTTATTTTAACAAAACGAAAAGCAAGCAAAATAATTGAAAAAAAAAAAAAGAGGATAGCAAGGAAGTGATATGTCAATTGCTTAAATTTAGCTAAAAAATGGAATTTTAGCAAAAGATTTAATTTTAGCTTAACCTGTGTGAGCGATGGAAGGTTCCTACATGCCTGAACCCGATTTAATCAAATCACACGCCCATCAATCCTAATCATTCCAATGTGAGCAATATTTGGCCAGTCCACACCAATATCCCTTTGGCATCTTTCCGGTAGCTGGGGACTTCCCGAAATACTCAATACTTGTAAAGAGGTGAGAAAGCGCATCCCCTTTGGCATTGATGTCAAGTTACTGCAACTTGTAATGTACAGAGACCGAAGAGAAGTTAGGTTTTGTAGAAACTCCTCTGTTAGAGAATCTAGTTCTTCGATATCTACAAGCCACATTTTTGTCAATTTAGAGAAAGGAGGGAAAAGTGAAGAAAACGAAGACGATGATGGTTCTTCTGATGTTGTCATCTTCAATTTTATTGTCTCTTGGAGTTGCTTCCAGCTAGTTTCTTTCAAATCCAGCTCCCGAACAGAAGGAAACAGCGGCATAGAGGTTAGATTAGGGCACCATCGTATTGTCAAATCTGAAAGGCAAGGAAAGCAAGGCAGCTGTGCATTTGCAGCTTCATTACCATCACCCCTCCACCATCCCTTGAGATTTGGGCAAGATAAGAGTTGGAGTTTCTCTAAGGATGGAAAAAATTTTGTTGATTTTGAAGAATACTCCTTTTGCATTTCAATCTCAGACACATTCTCCAAAACTTTAAATCCTGAAAGCCAAAGAAATTTGAGGGAAGAGAGCTGATGCAATGGTGGCAGATGCTTACATTCAACAAAATTCTCTAAAATAAGTTTATTTAAACTGGTGATGGAAGACAGCCATCAATCTTGCTTCCCGGATACCCATACACCTCAAGCCTCTCTAGATTTGGGTGTGGTTGGAGGCCTTCAAAAACCATTTCATGCTTCTCATTTCTCACATCATCTACTCTATCCCAGCTCAATATTAAGTATTTCAAATTCAATTTTTCTTTCAAGTAAGAAGATCCAGGCTCTGGAATAGCATTTTGTAAAGAAGAAATATCTATTTTTCCTTTGAGGTTGTTCAGTCCATTCAATTCCCTTAACTCACCAACTTCCTTGCCTCTCTTTCCCACAACAAACTGGTTTAACTTTCGCAGACAAGTTAGTTGCCCCAGTCCACGTGGCATGTAAGCCAACCTATGACAACGATCAATATAAAGATATTTGAGGCTAACTAACCTTGTTGTTTTCCTCGGCAATTTTTCGAGAGCATAGCAACCAGAAAGACGTAATGTTTGCAAATTCTGTAGCCTAGATAAAGAACCAGGCAGTTTTTTAAGAAAATAATTTCTATGAAGATAAAGAGCCCTTAAATGTTGCAATTCGCCTATGGAATCTGGTAACCTCTCAATACCTAAACTCAAATTCAAAGAGCGTAGGTACCTAAAATTAGAAATAAGTGAATTGCAAATGGATTGATTCAAGGTGCCATCCGGAAGAAATATTGTCCTTAGTCTATTTGATTTGAGCAAAGTGCTTGGAATTTTCCAAGAAGCATCTAATTCATCTTCAAATAACACATGGCGAGTTCTTCCATCTGCATTTTCTGCTTCTAGACTTGCAATGCAGTACTCAGTCCCAGCAACAGAGCATGCAAGATCATGCATTAGATCGTGCATGGTGAATCTCTTCACATTTCCCGAATCATCTTCTTCTGCAACTTGAAAAAAAGATCTCCAAAGCAAATCCATGAAATACTCATGCCCAACATCTTCTAGATCTTCGTCTCCACTTAGTGGCTGGATAAACCCTTGGGCCATCCAATCCATGATCAAATACTCAACCTCAAACTCAGCGTCCTTCGGAATTAAAGAGCAATAAGCAAAACATTGCCTCAAATATGTTGGAAGATGATCATAACTCAACTTTAAAATTGGCATAATGCCACTTTCTGGTCGAGTTATATACTTAACAACATTATTCTTCACCTTTAACCATTCCGCTTCTGTTCTGTTAAATAGTACACTTCCTATGGCCCTTAAGGCAAGAGGGACCCCTTTACACTTCTCAACAATCTCCATCCCAATTGCTTCAAAGTCTGACCTGTTGGATTCGTGGCTTTGTTCTTTAAATGCCATTTGCTTCAGCAGTGACCAAGATTGGCCCTTTGACAATCCTTCAAGCTCATGTGGTGAAACTGTGCCTGTGATTTCTGCGACCCGCATACTACGAGTAGTGATAACAATCCAACTTCCCCTTGCACCATCTAATAGCAAATTTCTCAAATTGAGCCATTTTTCACGGTCCTCATTCCATACATCATCTAGGACTAGCAAGTACTTCTTTCCATTAATGTTCTCTCGAAGAATATTTTGCAGTGTTTCCATTTCGTTTTCCGGTTTTCTTCCAGTTGCAGCCTCGATGATTTTTTCCACAATAACTTTTATCTCAAACTTCTCTGAGACACAAACCCATATTTTTAGCTGGAAATGTTTCCCGACGTTTTCATCATTGAACACCATTTTAGCTAATGTGGTCTTTCCTAATCCTCCAATCCCTATTATGGGAACAAGTGATACATTTTCTTCAGGTTCGGATTGTAGCAGCTGTTCTACAATTTTCTTTTTATCATCATCTCTTCCAATTATTTCTTCTGCACGCACAAACGAATAAGTATGGTCCCTCTCCCTAAGTTCAACCAGTGACTCTATAGGGCGGTCAGTGAAGTCAAATTTGGCTCTATCAGTGGCAATTTGATCTAGTCTCTCTCTAATGGCTTTAACTCTATGACCCATCTTGAGACTATATGCAAGCTGGTTTGATTTGGAGAAGAAAATGCGTACCTCTTTCACCATTTCATTCCCGCTCATTATCTTTCGCCTCAAAGCTTCAGTAGAAAAATCATCAAGCAAGTCATCCACATCGTAAGGTACATCTTTGAGCTGGCTGAGCCATTCCGTTACTTCATGGTTGTTGTTCCTTTGTTGCTCCTCCGCATCACGAAGCACACCTTTGATCAAGGAAACAGTGTGGTTAAGCTTGCTGATTTCTGCTTTGACTCCCCAAGCCAAACCAAGTTCTTGGTAAGCCAATGATGCCAGAGCCCCCAAGAGTTGTCCAGCCAAATCGAACAAGACGCCTTCAGCCATTTCTTGATTTTACCTTCGCAGCAGGAAACACAAATCTTTGTTTTTTTTTTTTTTTTGAGAAATTTCAGGTGGTTTTGAAAGAAAGTGGTGATAACTAATAGTAAAGTCTCTAATTTTATGGGGCCGTGCAGGATCCGGGACCTTTCCCTTGGCTTTTCAAAAGCAAAGTCAGGTTAATGATGTGATTGATTGCCGGCTATGGCATATTTGTTCCAATGTAGTATATTTTGTCGCATCATCAATTTGTTTAAATTCTTTCTTACATCAAATATGTCAATGGCATTTGGTAAAGGTATCCATCTAAAATTTTGCCGCTCTTCAAATTGTACCCAAGTGAAATATTTATTATTTTTTAAAAAAAATTTCAATAGTTGTAGCTTTTGATGATCAAGACTTGCAGGTTGCCGCTTTCATATGATCCAAACAAGAAAGGAAAAAAAATTAATCTAATAGATTATTAACAACATAGTAGTAAATGTAGATTAACTGTAACTGATGTTATTTGCTAGCTAACGTTAAAACACATTAGACTTTAGCTATCTTTGATCGAAACATATCAAACCTATTTTTAAGAAATTCAAACAAGTTGTGAAAATGGAAAGGAGAATCAAATCTCTGTTGGCCCTTTGAAAGTATTCATACTGTTTTTCGATCTCTTTGTTGCCAGCTTGTTCGCTGAGTTATTCGTCTTTCAATTTTCGCATGTCGTTATTTTCTTTGCATTTTGAACGTGATTTGCTTTTATTGTATAATTCAATTGGGATAACTTACTAGTATTAGTCTGTAGAGTGTAAGAATATCGAAGAGAACAATGATGAAATTTCATAACATCCTTGAATTAGTATGCAAATTATTTTTGAATATCTGATGGGATAAATACTAGGTATGCGGTTTATAGCGGAGTTAAAATGCCCCAAAGAACAATGAAAAATTAATTCATATATCATCTATATATTAAATGTAAACTTTAAAAGTATTAAACATAAACGACATAAATATCTTTAAAAATTTTTAAAATAATAAATTTGCCTTTAATTTTCTATCATTTTTATTTATTTAATAAAAATTATTTACTATTAAATATAAACTTTTAGTTTTAGTTATTTAAATTTAAACCAACTAAAAATTTACAAATAAATTCATATCAAATTAAACTATATGTTTAAAATTTTGAAGTGTGAGGATGTAGAATAAAAATATATATATCTACATAGTTTCATAATTAAGATTAGAAATTAACTCAATTGATAAAGTTAAATTATATATATACGCGAAAATAAGATAAATTAATCAATTAATTTTTCATATAAATTCTAAAATTATTAAATTAGTCTTTTTATTACTCAATACATCACGTATTACAATATATATGAAAAAGTATAAAAAGTATAACATGATTTCTGATTTTTTTTCAATCAATATATAAAAAGTATTCAATTTAGAATTTAGCCAATAGTATTATAAATCGTTATTTAAATTTTAACTAAATATTTATAGTACTCACAAAACATATACATACTTTAGATTTTATAACCTATCTTGACTAAGAGATTTTATTATTAAGAAGATGCTTAATATATATATATATATATATCATATGTAAAAATGTGATAATTTATTATATTATCTCTATTTATCTTTATTTAATAATTTTTATTGCATTAAAATATTGACTACGTTTTCTTTATTTTCTTATTAAATAATTTTTCTTGGTTAATTCATTCATGTACCACTTAAGGCAAAGTATTGAAGGGCTTAAAATAGTTTTTTTATATATGAATACTTTTGTATTTATAACAAATTAGACCTATTAATATGCTTTACACAATTAAATTAGTTATTTATGATTTAATGGTAAATTAATTATTTCATAGTAGGAAATACAAAATAATATAGTAGTTACAAATCATTGATAATTTAGTTGTAAATCATAACTCAGAAAAAAATTAAAAATAATTTTGTACTAAATTGGTTATAACTTTGTATTAAATCATGGATAACTTAATAATAGATTAGTAATAACTTAATAAATATATAGATAATAATTTAGTAGTAAACAATTGATAAGATGGTAGTAAACCAGTGATAACATAATAATAAATATCTAATAATATAATAATAAATCATAAATATCTTAATAGTAAATTAATTAAAACATAGTTATAAACACATAATACTATAATATTAAATTAAAGATAACTTAATAGAAAATAAATGATAATTTAGTTGCTAATCATGTAGATAAATAATAACTTAGTATCAAATTAATAATAATAGTAAATTAGTTTTAGTTTAGTAGTAATTAATTGATAAACTCAATAGTAAATCATAAACAATTTACTAATAAATCAATGATAATTTAGTAACAAATAAGTGATAACATAATAATAAATGCTTAATAATTTAATAGTAAATTAATTATAATATAATTATAAATGCATAATAATATAATAACAAATAAGGAATAACTTAATAAAAATAAATAATAATTTAATAATTAATTATTAATAACATAATAGTAAATCAATGATAACTTATTAATAAATAATTGATAATTTAATAATAAATGTAAATATCTTGTTTTGTTGAAATAATTAAGTCTGAAACGATTAGACTTGAATCGACTGAGCCTAATTTGATCAAACTCGAATTAAGTTTGACCCAATTATTATTATTATCATTATTTAATTGTTGATATTTTATTTTTATTATATTTATTTATTTTGTAATTATCTCTACTATTATTTTATGGTTAGTTTATCTTATTATTTATCTGTTAAAAAAATGAAGAAATGGTAGAAACATGAGAGGATTCAATCGGTTGGATAAATGGGTTTTTTTTTAAAAAAAAAATTATAATGAAATTTAGTCCTAATCCAATTATCATATAGATTCTATTAAGTGTTTAATCTGAGTTGAAATACCGTTTGGACTAGGATTCTTGCTTATAAATAAACATGTTAATCATCAACAGGAAGATACACAACAAATCAGCACTAAAACAGAGAAAACAATCCGCAGAGAAAATCGTAGAAGTGGAGCATAACAAGGGGACGAGAAAACCCATCATCTTAATGCTCAATCCCAGGACACCAAGTTCAAATTGAACCACAATTCCACCATCACCAACTTCTACCCAAGTCGATTCTGCCACTAACTTCGGCCAATATCCAACACAGCCTCACAGAGTCCTACAATATTGAGCAAAGCTAAGACCCAAAAGCACAAGGTCGAAAACCTCAATCAACAATTAAGAGCAGGAAGTAATCAAAGCAAACGTAGATAGGAAACAACAAATCGGAAGAGCCTAGCATAAGAAATCAACTTTCAGGGATCCAAAGCCGAAACCCACGGAGGAAACTGGCGAGAGGAAGGGTCTGGCAACATAGTTTTTAATAAATAAATTAAAAAAAAGTTTTGCGATTGTTGTCACAAGTAAACTATTCCTAAAAACCATTCTTTGCTACCATTCCTTATTACCGTTCTTTGTTTGTTACTATTCCTAAAGACCATTGTGTTGATGACAATTGTTTGCAACTGTTTTTGGTCAATTATATTAATTATATTGTGGTGGCCCATTGTTTTTTTGTACATAATTTACGTAGTCATAAGACCATTAATTTTATAAGATTTTTTTTATCTATCATATTTTTATTCTTTCTTATTAGTGATATGATGTGGGGCCATTTAAAGTTTAATTAGAGATGTAGTTGATTTAATTAAAAACAACATATACCAATAATTTTTATTCATAAGTTCATTAATAATAAAATTAATAAATTAAGTAATTTATAAATTCAATATTTTTTTCACCATATAATTTAAATAAAATTTTCTTAAAAACTAATGAAAGTTAACCCCAATAAAAAGAAGTCGAGAATGGTTTATTTTTATTATAAATTTTTAAGTAAGAGATTTTTTTTAAAATTTAATCCAAATGGTAGAATAATTTAAATGAAATTTAAATGAAAGTTATTGTGTTCTTTCCCAAATTAAAATATAACTTAAAGAAATTATGGTGTAAAAATATTTGACAATTATCCAATAATGAAATCTTGAGAAAAAATCACAAATAGTTGAATTTTCATAAGATTTCTAAGTAAAAAGTTTTTTTCTAAATTCAATCCAAATGGTGAAAGAATTTAAATGAAACTTTAAAAAAAAATTGTCATGTTATTTTCTTTCCAAAGATTATGAAACTTGTAGGAAATTTTTCTAAATAAGCTCAAATGGTGAAAAATTTAGAAATAAAACTAAAATTCCAATGATGAAATTCTTAGTAATCACAAATAGATAATTATCTAAGATCTTTTTAGGTGAGAAAATATTTCTAATTTAGGCTCAAATGGAGGAAGAATTAGATATACTTTCGATAAAGAAAAATGATTAAGTTTTTTTTATGATAAAGCCTCTTCAAGAAAACAAATTTTTGATTACTTTTGAGATGAATACGTATTTTTAAGGATTCTACCAAATTGATGGAGAATCATAAAAATTATTTCCAATATTTAAATGTTAATAAAAGATCATTAGAATCAAGACTTTAAGATAATTTAAAATAAAATGGTACTATTCTTCGAATGGGCATGTAAGAGTGCTATAACCTTCTTTATATGTAATCAAACTCTTGAACCATGTTCTTATTAGTAGACCAAAACACATTCTTTTAAGGATCTTAGTCAAGCTTAGGATATCTTTAATATGATAGATTCATTAGGTGACCAATCATACCTGGACAAAATATTAGTGGTGCTCCTTATATTGTGTTTAGCTATAGATTTATGGATATATACGTTATGACAATTTGGTGACCCTACTAGGGACTCTAAGAGTCAAGCCATTAATTAATTTTGAATTATTCTTTTTTTTGTTTGGTCTTAAATTATTAATCATTTGTTTGCATTTAATATTATTGTTTTTTATTCATTGCCTTAGCTTGTGAAAATTGTGAACAAAGATGTATGTATTCCTTCACACACATTATTACATACATGTGCAAC